AAAATGCTCACAAAGATGTCCCTGAATTTAAAAAAGTAACATGTTTTTACCCATAATATTTCTTCAAACTTCATCTATCATATTATATAGAGAAAATTAGTAAACCTCAAATATATTTTCAGGAATTGCGAATAAAAACACCTGCTATGCATTTTACAATTCAATTTTGATCAATTAACACATTTTAAAAATAAAAATCATAGGTATCCAGGCTTTTGAAGAAATTCAACAATTTTTATACATATAATGTACTTTAATTTCTTTTACTTACTTTGATCATTTTGCAATGCAAAGTACATATAAGGATTCCCCTGTCATTGCAAAGCTCCATAAATTACTTTTAATTTTATATAATGTTAATAAACATTGATATCTATGGTTAGATTAAATGAACATAAATTTCTTGATATATGTAATTTTAAGATGCTTTTATGGGTTAAAAATTTTGACTTTTAATTAGAGTTCTCTGAGAACTTCAAAGAACATTGAAGCATAATGAGAGGTATAGAATGAAAATTGTTGCTGGAAAATATTTAATTTTCAAGCTTCATTTTGAGACTTTTTGAATTAAATTATGAATTAAAGAGTTGTCCTTCCTGGCTGAGGATCGGAGTCCCTTAGAAAGATCATCGATTTGTTTGGTTTGCACTAATTGATTGATTGCCCGGATAATCGAAATAGAAAGCAAACGACATGATGGACAGGTGCATCATCGTTGGAAAAGGATCGATCTATAGAATTTTCTTTTAAAGTAAAAAACGGAGAAATATTGCATTTGTTTACATAAGCTACGTTTTTGTCAAATTTTTTAACGACTCTGCGCAAAAAATTGCACATAGAATTTTTAAATTTTTTCTCCCAGAACACCGATAAATATATATATTTTATTTCAAATGGTTTAAAATTATGAGCAATTTCACTCCACTCCCTGGAATTAAACACAACCAATATTGTACCCCAAATGGTCAGTAAAATTCGTTACCAATATGGTAGCTTGTCTATCAAACGGGGGATAAAGGACCATTTGGTAGGTTTTGCCCAGCCTGTTAATCTTTAATTTTTTAGTTTATCGTTAAAATGATCTAACACGTATAGGATCTAACACGTATGTACTTAGAAAATAACCTACTTTTTATAGAGGATGATCCAAAGTTCAACTTTAATCAATGCGTTTTGTTTAGTTTTTTTACCTTGTAGTCTTTATCTCCCGAAGTTTTACGTAACTATGAATTTAATCGAATACAGTATATGAATTAGGTGATAAAATATCTGGATACTATTGATTGTATGGAAATGAATTACATTCTTCAAGTCTATAAAATAAAATGTATACAAAAATGTACTATCAGTCTCTGTAGAAGAAATTGTACCTCCAAATTGATAGGGGTCTTTCTTACGCCTTAGAGAGTTGTGGTATATTTCACAACAAAAGCTCAAAAGGCTTCTCGAGGAAATGGAAGTGTAAAAACAGACATAACATTTTAATGTAAGACTTTCACCTTTGACACTTTGACCTAAAATCAATAGGGGTCTTCTTTATACTATGGGGAGTTATTTAAAATTGCAATGCAATTATTGCTTATATTCTCGTAATATTGCACAGAAACGAAATTGTAACAGACAGAAATATAGACAGACATACAGTCAGACGGAAATTAAAATCCCACATCTCAGAGATACCGGGGGAAACATAGGTGTCTGTGTTATTTCTACACAAAAATGTTAGACAATAAGCGAAAATAATCAGTGTTGTTTACTTATACTGAGTAATTTTAATCTGTTAATAGATAATCAAAATATGGTTATACGTACAATTCATGTACTGTTTTAAATTCTCTGTGTTCATATTTTGAATTGACTTATCGGGTAAACATATCTCAAAAAAGGTTCTTATGAATTAGAAAGATGCATGCATACATGTACCAACTCAAGAAAGAGTTGGATTTGGATGTTGTTTACATACAAGAGGCCCAAGGGCCTTGAATCGCTCTTCTTATAAATTATACAATCTATCCTAAGACCCAAGATGCATCAACTGACAAAGTTTGATGATTCTTAGCCAGTTAGGGCTGAAAATATTTAATTGTAACCATAAAATAAAATAAGGTCATTGTGTCCTACTTTTTGATTGAAATTTTCTGAGGACACAAAATGCATTAATTGACAAAGATTGATGATTCTAAGCCAATAAGTACTTGAAATATTCAAAATGGGTCACAGTGACCTACTTATTGGTCAGATTCTTCGAAAACCCAAGGTGCATAAACTGACAAAGTTTGACAATTCTAAGTCAATAAGTACCCTAGAATACTTAAATATAGCAATAAACGTCACAATTAGGTCACTGTGACGTATACTTTGATCATCATTCTCCTAGAACCCAAGATGCATCAAATAACAAAGTTTGATGATTTTAAACCAATAAGTACCCGAAATACCTAAATATAGCCATAAAATGACAAAAGTAGGTCACTGTGACCTTCTTTTTGACCTACTTTTTCGTCGACATTATCCGAAAACCCAAGATGTATCTACTGACAAGTTTGATGGTACTAAGCCAATCAGTACCCGAGATATTCAAATGTGGGTTACAGTGACCTACTTTTTGGTCAACATGCTTCAAAAACCAAAGATGCATCAAATGACAAAATTTGATGATTCTAAGCCAATAAGTACCTGAGATACTAAAATATAGCCATAAAATGTCAAAAGTAGGTCAAACCTGTTCTTTGGTCGTTAATCTCCGAAAACTTAAGATGCATCAACTGACAAATTTTAATGATTCTTAGCCAATTAGTACCCTAGATCATAAATCTAGCCATAAAATGTCAAAAGTAGGTCACAGTGACCTACTTTTTGGTCGACATTTTCTGAAGACCAAAGATGCATTAACTGACAAAATTTGATGATCATAGGTCTAATAGTATTCAAAATATGCCTTTTAAACAATTTGAAAACAAATGCCTGCAAAGTTCAAAAAGTAGGTCACAGTGACCTACTTTTTGATAAATATGTTTTACGGCCTCAGCTTACAAGATTTGGTGATTCTAAACCTCTCGGTGTCTGAAATAATGGGATTAAATGTTTTAGGAAAGATCAGCCATAAAATTCAACAAGAGGCCCAGGGGCCACACTAATACCTGAGCACATTTTTCTTCAAGGCATTTCATTTGAACAAACTAAAATCTACATATACTGAGGATGATTCCATATCAATACCCCGGGTACTTGAAAAGAAGATTTTAAAAGGTTTCCCTATATATCCCTATGTAAAACTTGGGTCGGCCATTTTGGCCCCACCCTATCCCCAGGGCCGGGAGTCATGATTTGAAAAAACTTGAATCTACACTACCTGAGGATGATTCCACATGAGTTTCATCTTTCCTGGCCCAGTGGTAATTGAGAAGGATTTTTAAAGATATTTCCTATATATTCCTATGTAAAACTTGGGTCTGCCATTTTGGCCCCATAAAAAATTATGATTTGAACAAACTTGAATCTACATATCTGAGGATGATTCCACATGAGTTTCATCTTTCCTGGCCCAGTGGTTCTGGAGAAGAAGATTTTTAAAAAATTTTCCTATATATTCCTATGTAAAACTTGGGTCGACCATTTTGGCCCCACCCTTGCCCCGGGGGTCATGATTTGAACAAACTTGAATCTGAACTACCTGAGGATGCTTCCACATGAGTTTCATTTTTCCTGGCCCAGCGGTTCTGGAGAAGAAGATTTTTTAAAAATGCCATTAATTTTTAACAAATTCATGATTATCACCCCTTGGAAAAGGGCGTGGCCCTTTTTGAACAAACTTAAATCCCCTTCACCCAAGGATACTTTGTGCCAAGTTTGGTTGAAATTGGCCCAGTGGTTCTTGAGAAGAAGATGAAAATGTGAAAAGTTTACAACAACGACTACGACGACGACAACAACAGCAACGACAGACAACGGACACATATTGATCCGAAATGCTCACTTGAGCCTTCGGCTCAGGTGAGCTAAAAAGTATGTCACGATGACCTACTTTTAAGTTGGTGTTGTTTGTGGACCCAAGATGCACCAACTGACAAAGTTTGATGACCATAGGCCTTCAAGTGTCCAAAATATGCCTCCAAATCAATTTGAAAACACAAGCCCATAAAATCTAAAAAGTAGGTCACCGTGACCTACTTTTGTATTAACACGATGTCAAGTCCTGAGATGCATAACTTACAAGATTTTATGATCCTAGTCTTTATAGTAAGCAAAATATCAACATTTTTAATAAGTGTAAATTTTGGTCAACTTTGAAGTGACCTTGAGACCACGCCCTTTGCCCAAGGGTAATGCCTTCAACAATTTTCACTCTTCAACATATCCTGACCCTTGTATGTAAGATTGGTGAAAATCTGCCTGGTGGTTCTGGAGAAGAAGATTTTTTAGCAACCATTACTTTTGGTTTTATTTTCATGATTATCTCCCCTTGTTTTAGGGTTCAACCCCTAATTTTAGTATAATTTTAGTGTTTTGGTAGCCCTTGGGTCAAGGATACAAGGATGTGACAATAATTGGCCAAGGGGTTCTTGAGTTATGGCCCATATTCTAAAAAGTTAACACATACCGCACGACGCACACCGCACAAATAGCCATAGCATTAGCTCTTTGAGCCTTTGGCTCAAAAGAGCTAATAAAGAGGGGTCTTTTCTTCGGAGTAACAAAATCTGAGGGTTTTTTTTCATAAACGGCACCTTGATTGGCATTTCACATAAAACTGGCAAGTTACCACTTGTGTTTTAGGTCTTCTTTGAACTTAGCTATGTTTTAAAGTCAAAAGTCTTTGGAATATTTAAATCAACTCTGATTATAAGATTCTTCCGTAGATGATACTGAGCAGAACGCACTCAGTCATTATTCAAGTGTGTAGCAAAGGAAACTGGAAAAGATTTATATAATTTATAAAGTTTTATTTATTACAAAATATACATAGGATATCTATAGATAAACGAGGAAAAATTAACATCATTACATTTCTTATTTTACCAAATAAATGATTTTCATCAATCAATTTAATTAAACATATCTAGTACAAACTTATGTTGTTTTGAAAACTATAATTATTTTGTATTTTATCCATGCTTTAAATGGCATAGAATGACTTTTGCCCGATGTCAAAGTTATGTCTTAAAAAATACATATGTACAAAAATTCGAAGAAAAAATATAAACAAAACAATGTTATTTCAAACATACAAAATCTATAAGGCATACTTAGCAATGGTATTTCTTTCAAAGAGAAGCAAATACAAAGAGTTATATACTAAAATGCATACAGTTTACTTATACTAGTAATTTTTTCACTGCATTTTTTTTTTGGAAACATATTTATATTTTCGCGCATATTTCCTACATGTAAATCCTTGAAATTCAATAAAAAAGGTTTAAACTATAGTCTAAAACATCAAAATTATTAAATCTGTACAAACAATCAAACAATTTCATGTACAGAACTTAGTACACGTCCTGGATAAAACAAAAAATAATAACAACTTTCAACACAGATTCATTCCATACACATATTTGGATTTACATTGATTTTTTTGTCCAATATTATATAAAAAATTAAACAGGAAAACATTTATATACATGTACAATTTCACCTAAATACCTGAAATTTTTCTAGATAATATACATCATATACTTCATATAAAACTAACAAAAGAGGGGTCCATCAATATGTTAAAAGAAAAGCACTACATTTTTGCATGCTTACACACGAATCTCATTAAGTATTTGGAATCTTTCTTCGCACAAGTTCCAGAATTTTTCCTGCGAGTTCAACAGCTTGTTCAGCCTGGTTTTGAGTGTAAATGTCAGAGGGAGTGGCCATTCCGTGTCCTCCTGGTACAGCATCTGGATACCGCATCTGGAAATAATTCCCGGTTATTCCCTCCAATTGACAGGCAAGTCCAGATACCTCAGTATCATCAATTCCATAGGAGATTGCAACTAAACTGTGAATGCGCTCTACCTTATCAGCATCAATTTGAAATAACAATGCTTTGAGCGCCTTTTCTGCTGACTACAAAAATGGAAATAAATAAATTTTAGTGCAATTTATAGCCGATAGATAGATTAGATCAAATACATTGTTTACGCAATGTTTATTAATTGCAATGATTAATTGATTTTATGTTGTTTTACGTCCCTCTCGAAAATTTTTCACTCATATGGAGACGCCATCACTTGCCGGTGGAGAGCTACAAATTTTGCCCTATATTCAGCTTTAGTGTAGATTCTAAATTGTGTTCAAATCATGACCCCCGCGGAATCAAACTTTTACGTAGAAATATATAGGAAAAATCTTTGAAGACTCAGGGCCATTGAGCAGTGAGGGATCTTTCTCGTGCCAGCACCTACTACGACACGTGACCTCGGTTTATACGGTTTCATCTGAAGGACCGGTCTCCACGTCCCACAGTGAGATTCGAACCCACGACGTAAGGATTGACGCCTTACTTCGCAACACTTGAGCAGACGCTCTAACCACTGCGCCATGCGGGCGATTCAATTTTAATGAAAAAATGTTCACGTTAAATATCTTACATATACATTTGTAAGCTTATGAAGCATTAAACAAAATTAAGTTAAACAAAAATACATTAACAAAAACAAAATAATGTTGTAAATTAAAAGTTGTACCTGATGGCATTTGTAACATGCCCAGTTGTATGCACCATGCTGCATCTTATCAGTAGAGGAAGCTCGAAGATCAGATTCTGCTTGTCGAAACCACCTCCTTGCCTGTCCCGGTTGAGAACCTCTGGAGTAAAATTGTCTAAAGAAATCACTAGATCCTCCATGAGACTGATAACTGCGCTGGCTTCGTGCATAAGAGGATCCACGATTGTAACAATTTCTTGCAAACGCAGATGTTGGGGTCTGTGAAGAGCTATTGAAACTTTCAAAAACGTCAATGTCTTCTACGGACTGTCCTTCTTCCAGTCTTTTCTTTATGAAATAAATAAAAACTGTTAATTCGTTGAAATACTCCTTGTTTTCTTGATGTTTGTCAGGATGATATTGTAGCACAAGTCGTTTTACAGTTCTTTTAAATTCTTCATCTGACCTCTTATATGCATTTCTAAGAACGTCTCTGATGTAACTCTTGACTTTGTCATTATTCCATTTAAACACTACGGCGCCATCTACAACATCAATGCTCTTTTCGGCACTATCGTTTCTTATAAATTTATATACTTTGGATGCAACCGCTTCAATAGGATCTTCGTTCCCAACATCTATCAGATAACGTATGCTCCATTCATCAGCATTTGGACAACAATCCGAACGATCTGACATAGTTTTCAAAATCCTTGCCAAAATATATACTGGTTCTGTGTCACAAGCGTCATCTTCATCGATAATTGGATCAAACAGTTCGTATGCCACGAATTCCCCTGGTGCAACGTACGTACACGAGTTATCTAAAAGATGGTGAAGAGATATCGGTATTTCTGAGCCAAGTTCTGGCATAAATGTGCGAAATTTTGACAATGTTCCTTCCTCTATCTTTCTTATTTCTAGAATATCCAATTCGTTTTCAATTGCACTAGGATTTTGTATGCATTTCAATACACCTGGTAGATGTATTTGATTATCTTTTAGAGGTTTACCAAGGAATGCATTTATGCTTATTGAAACTTCTGTAGCAATACTGTTTACCCACAACATCAAATCTGTACCCTTGACAACTTTAAAATATATGACTAATTTTGAAACGCCATTTTCGTCACATTCTTCTATTGAAAACAGTAACCTGTTTTTTGAAGTATTTGGCAATGGTTTGTTTTCATACGTCATTACTGTTGTCAATTTTTCAACACAAATGATAAGGACTGATTGGAGTTTTTTCAAATTATCTATTTCATTTTCTCCACAGCTCTTGTTATTATTGTACAGTTCATGCCTAACAAGTCTAAACATGCCAGCAAAAAAGTCAGGACTGTGCAAGAATCTCTGCAGTTTTGTTCCATAATCAGAAGGGGTTATCAATGCTTTACAATCTGATTCTAATTTTTCAATCACAACCTTTGTAAGCAAATGTGGCCTATGTTTCTCTGGTAGTAAAGTTATCTCGAAAACAGGATCCAACACTTCTATATTCAACTCCTTGAACCCCACAAAGAAATCCATATCTGGCATGTTGTCACCAATTCTATCCTCTAAAAGTTTGTGGTCTACGAATACCAAAGAATTACTGCGAATCAAAGTCCCTCTTTTACTGGGTAGATACAAAGTTGGAACCTTCAAATCAACAATTTTCTCTGTTCTGAGTTTCATAAACAGCATTTGTACGGCTCTTTCTGTGCTGAATCTTTCATTAGGTTCCAACACATTACCTTTTGATTTCTTCCATACTTCATACAAGACTTTGGCTAAATGACTGCATTCTAGAGATTTTGCTGCCCCATGCATCTCAAACATTGAATGAAATTGTCCAAAATACAAAGGGGCTTTACACAAGTATGGGGGTATTTCTTCAGATTTGTTGATATCCAACACAACATGTTCAGGTAATGCAAGCATTTTTCTGTCTTTTATGAAAATAAATGGCAATGTTTTCAAATTCTTCTTTGACTTTTCGTTTCCATTACTCTGCAAATATGTGTATATTTTATTCATCATAGTAGTAACGGCCCTCTCAGCTCCATCTTTTTCAGCAAAAAATTCTTCCATTTTATCTTTGAGAGAAGTGAACACAATTTTCATATGATCAAGAACAATATCCATAGACGGTGTTTCACATAGACCCAACTTTCTTGTTGCTATAACCATGTCCGACTTGGTCATCATATTACTCAGATCCTCGGCAATTACATCCATCACCGACCATACTAGAAGTTCATTTTCATTTGTTGTTGAATCACAGAAAGAAACTAGTCTTTTTCCATTTTCAAACTGATGTGCCACTGACAAGTATATTTTTTGCACGCAATGAGGAATAAGAAACTTGATGGTCTGTATCTCTCTGATCAAATAATGACTTTTTAAAAGCTCATTTTCCTCCGAAAAAAGTATCCTCACCATGAGTTTTGAGTTATCCGATACCTTTATTGAGATTCCAGAATTGGATAACTTCTGCAATCGATGTGCAAAGTCCACAAAAATTTTCGGTGTAATCTCATTCTTCATTCCACAATGGACAAGAAAGGATTCCCATTCTTCATCATCAAATGGAGGAAGGGGCAATTCGGATGCATTACAAAGTTCGTTTTCAATTCTGAAAATATCCTTGTGTGGATTAAAAAATTCACATGCACGCGCCAAAGTGCCTGATTCAGTAGGGAGAAAAGCGATTTCTTGTAGTAAATATTCCAACATTTTCAACTGCTGTTTCTCTTTTTTACTTGGATAATAACCAAGTTCTGGTAAAACAATATCCTTGAGAAATTTCAAGTGATGCATAATGGCTGTTGATGGCAAGATTTTGAAATTAGGCAATAAATGATAAATGTAAATTTCCGTCCTCGACAATACTTTGCAACCTAAATACGTCAAGAAATCTTCGGAAAGATTACTCGATCTGATAAACAGAATGTTCCTTTCTGCACCAAACTGAATCATTCCATCATCGGGAATGCCATCAGGCAACACTAGAATGTTGTCTGTTGACAATGTAATATAATTTTTGTCCAGACCAGAATAGAAGGGCAGACATCTAAGTTTGTTTTGACAGTCTTTTCCTTTTTTTAAAGTTCCAATACGCTTGGCAAAAAAATCTAACATTACTGTGCAAGCTTCACTTTCCAACTTCAAATATTTTCTGTTGTTAAACAGACAATCAAGAGTATCCAGAACGCTATCCACTGTTGCTACTAAAGATTTTACTAGTTCAATCACAGGCCGTTCTGCAATAAAGTATCCATGTTTTTTCGATGGCAAGCAGTCCTCGTCAATGACTGGAACATTCAATAACAGCATTGATCCTTGTTCTGGTCCATCAACCTCAGGCATTATTTTCAGAACATGTTTTCCATCTTTAAAAGGATATAGTAAGTGTTCATTATTTCGAAAAACAGGGAGAAGACTGAACTCTCCTAAATGTTTCATGATCCTACCATGCAGTATCACAATTGGAACATCTACATCATTTTGTAGTTTCTCGTTCTCATTGGAAGATGTTTGGTTTTCTAACTTTTTTTTAAAGAGTTGTTCCTTTTCAAGAGAAGCAAGGTTTTCTGCGAGAAAACACCAAAATTTTTTCATCCAGTGTGAATTTAGGATGTTATCTGAATGTTGATTCCAGGACTCCGGTAAACCCCTACAAAATCGCAAGGGAATACTGCGTGAAACACAACTAGCAAAGTCTTCAATTTGCAAATTCCTTACAAAAGGATGAAAAACTTTGTTTTTCAATAAGGAAAATTCTGCCAAATGAACAATTTTGTTCGCAAATGCAGGCAGCAATTCTGGAAATGATGTAATAAAAACAGTGTCTGTATCATTGAACTCATGTATTTGGTGATCTGCTGTTAGAAGAAGAGGAACATGTTCGAATTCAGCAGAGCTCAATTTACTCTCTTTTAAACAGTAATCAAGTAGATACACAACTCCTTCGATGCAACGGAATCTGGTCTCAGAAACATGTATATTTACTTTTTCAATTTTACACTTGTCTATATCACTAGAATCATACGATTTCAAAAACTGTAACACAGAACCTGGGGACACTTTTTGGACCTTGGCACCAACACATTCCATGCTGTCAAATATCCATAATGGTGATTCTATAAGCTTCATCCCAATGTCTTTCAAAACACCTGCTAAAAACTCTGACTGTTTAGAGGCCCAGCTCATGATCTCATTATACTTAAGACCATAAAATATATCGTAATTTTGTCTTTTAAAATCGCTTCTCACCTGGAATTTTATTTCATCAAAGTAAGCAGGAAAAGAACCTGACGCTATAGCCACCCATCTGATTTCCAACGGCTCCTCTTGTATAACCGGTTTATTTGATTTACTTTTTTCCTGTTTGGTATTCATCTCGTTCTCATTCTCATTTCCATCTGCTATTTCCATCTTCTGGTAGTCTCTACGAACAATTGGAAATAAAGAACGGTCGGTTTCTGTAATCTGGTTATATAAAGCTTTTGCTGTAAACTCCCATACCTTGCCTTTTAGAGTTCTCATATAAGGAAATGCTCGATGATATTTGTAAAGTTGTGACCACGGTTTTCTTGAAATTATTTCTGGAAACAATGCAGTTTTTAGATGTTGGAGAGTTGACAGGTAAGTTGGTACAATGACGTTCTCAATCAAGCATTTATTCCACTCTAGTTTGAGATCAGATGATGCCTCATCTGGCCACCAAATATTGCGACGTGCCTCATGATCCAAAGCAAAATGCCCATTGATGTGAACTGGCAAACCTGTAATGAGCGGAAGTGGCAAAAAGCAATATGCTTTAAAATGATTTAAAATCAATGGAGTGATTTTTGTTCCATCTTGATTCTTGTGAAGCGTTTTATTCTTTAGGTTAAATGCAACACCAGAACTTGGTAATAAGGCAAGCCTTTTTTCTCTGTATGCTTTTCTTACACTGTCTGGAATTCTCTTTTCATTCTCAAAACCAAATCCAGCAACAATCAGCCATTCTTGTGTGTATTTGTTGTCAATATCGACTTTTAAACGATACATTATTTCTTTTCTATCTACATCGCATACATATGTTGCATTTTTCTCCATTTGTTTTCGAGTTTCATTTGTGATTTTGTGCAACTCTACTTTCGTCTTTGATTCATCTGTAGCTTCTGCCTTGACAATAAATTCTCGTCTGAGAGTGCCATCTTTTTCCACTGAAGAAACTGAAATTGTCCTAACATGGTTGAGGAATAAAAGACATTCAGCCATTTCTTTTTCAAGATCTCTCAAGAGTGTCTCTAAACCTTCACAAGTAATTTTCCTGTGAGACAGGGATGAGGCATCATTACAGCGTAGTGGAAATCGGAATAAAGTACCTCGTTGTGACTTCCAAATGCTACTATTTTCCAAGTAACCAGGCATAATATCTGTAAATTTTAAACCCACAGTTGTAGATGCATTCTTGAATTTTCGGCCTGGTTTTGTTTGAGATGCATGTGGTATATATCTCAGATGGGGATCTAAAACGCATAGGGTGTCTAAGCCAGTTTTAAAATCTCTTGTAATAAATGAAGGAACATCAGTAAGGTGGTAAACGACATTGAAGCCTACACCATATTGTCCTGTGGATGTTGGATCGTCTGACTTGCTTCCAATTCCTAAGTTCTGAATTCCTTTCAAATCATTCTCGGTAAAAACACTATCATTATAAACACATAATGCCGGTCCTTGCAATTCCTTCCAACTGTCGCTAAAAATGTGCTCAGTACCATGTGATCTAAAATCTTTGATGAAATGGAGCTCTGACGCACCAGCATCGTCAGCATTTTGAAGAAGTTCCTTCAATATACAAGCCTGTGGATATCCGTCCAAAATCCGTTTTATTCGAGTTGTAAGTTCTTCGTGTTGCCCGAATTCGTCACCAAGCTCTTCAGAATCCATTAAGATGCTGTGGTCTCTTTTGGATTTGATTCCTATCACCTTTGCTAATTTAAGTGGTAAATTAATATTTAAAAATCTCATTGATGAGGTTCTTGTAATCCAGTCAAAATCATCAATGCACAAATCATTTACATGACAAAAGAAACCATTTGAATCTGGAAGGTACAGATTTTCTTTTGGAATGCAATCACAATTTTCCAATAGCATTGCAATTCTGCAAACTAAGCCCAAATCCTCTTTAGACATTCTTCTTTCACCATAGTGTTCCTTCATTGTGAATAAAACGTGAATAATATCCTCAGAATCAAATGATTCCCGAACACCAAAGAGTTCCATCAAAGAAAAAAAGCGATCGGCATCCTTTGGTCTTAAACCATAAAAGTGAGGACAGCAATCATGCTTCAAAGAAAAGATGACTTGTTTTGGAAATGCGAATTTCTTTTCAGTAATGATACAACAAAGATCTGAAAAATTCGTCTGAATGAAATCTTTTACGCCTGTTTCCGATATTCGTTGTGCAAAAACCCTATATATTTCATAGCAAATTTCTTCAATATCTTTGTTTTGCGCTCCTTCTGGAACCTTTGTTATTTCAGTAAGTTGATGTTTTAGGGTTTCCAATTCTACATCTTTTTCCTTTCTCACACCAAGTGATTGTAGTGCCCTTTCATAATAATAATACATTTCATATCTACCTATCACAGCTTGTGAAGATCCAACCAGTTTTTGTACCGAAGGAAAATACAAATTGCATGGTTTTTCAAACCAATCAATATTATCTGCATCTTCCACGTGCATTTTACATTTCATTACATGTTGCTGCTTCCCAGTATCACTGTACCATTTTACAGGCCAGTGAACTGGTTTTTTCCCCACTGGTAGAAAAGCAATGACAGATATTTCGTCTAAATTTTCCTTGGTAAAGGTTTCAAATTTCCTATTTATATAGCTTACAATTTCTTTAGATCGGAGCAATGCACACAGTGTACAAAGTTTCGACAAGTTAATAATGTCTAATATTTGTGAATGCAAAAGTTCAAATGGTATATCATATTTCATCATTCCAAGTCCAACAAGAACTTCCAGGTCATCGTCTTTACAAAATTTTTTGTCAGGAAATCGTTCATCATCTGTTTTGAATAATCCAGATACATCACAGTGGGGATGCACTAAGCTCTTAGGCGATTTTTTGGTACCACTTGGACAAGTTGCAATACATTTACTTTCTTTCAATGCTGTAAGAATGACATTATTTCTTGATCTTATTGCGCCCAGAACAACACGGTCATATTTTTCCCCATGGAAAAGAGATACATTTGGCAAGAAGTTTTCAGTTATAAACTTCTCATAAGTAATTACGTGCTTAGAAAAGATTTCACCAAGACAGAGTTCCAATTCTTTATACACGTTATTAGGTATCTCCGTTATGACTCTACTATCTGAGTGGGTTTCCTTCAAAATGTCGATAGCAATTTGATGTAATTCTTTGTCTGCTTTTATATTTGTGTGCAAAAAAACACAATCCTGAAATTTTTTGAATCCAAGATGAGTTTTGAACAAGGGTAATTCACGCTCCACAATGCATCTGTAAAATTCATCCTGAAATGTCTCCCAGAAATACTCCTTACTTTCTTTTGGCCATATTTCATAAAATACATCATCTTCTGTTGTGGTATTTTTCAAAACAATAAGGAGCTCTAGAAGTGCCTCCAACGTTGCATCTGATATCAGAGAGTTATTCCATATTGTTTGTTTTGTATTTTCTTTGTCATCTTCTGTTCTCACCAGTAACCGCTGACGATCAGACGATACAGCAAATGTTCCATTGACATGAAAGGCTAATGAAGTATTGATTGGTAATGGCAAAAAACAAAACATATGGCTTGTATCATAGAATCCATACCTATGAAAATTAGATAAACTTGTACAAAGAAGGCGAGGCAAAAAATTTCCATTCACTATATCCCCTGGAATTGCAACGCTAGATAATGGAAGTGCTCCGTCACTACTTTTCTCTCTGAAGAGTTTTAAAGACTGTTTTCTTCCAAGTGCCCATGAAATTAACCAGTTGGTTTCTTCTTTGGATGCTAAATTTTCAACCCAAGTGTGACCCCAAGAAGAAATTGTTATTTTTGTTCTACATACTAATGCAAAGTGTACGGACTTGTCAAATTTACTACACTGCCTTGAAGCTGCACTTAAAATGTTTTCATTGCTAAGCATTACTGAATTTCCAAAGTTTTCATCCTTTTCGATAGTAAGTATCAGCTCCATATCTTTATCCGGATTTGTACTTCTTTCTCCGACATGAAAGAGTTTAATTTTTTTAACATTCTGAGTGAAGAGGAGCATGTTTCCGCTTGATTTGCAAAACATTTTCATAAGTTTTTCCATTTCCTCTCGAGAGTATTCTTTGGAACTGATTTGACTAGTAAGAGCTTGGTGTTTTGTACGCAAAGGGAATCTAAATATCGTTCCACTATATCCTTTCTTTTCAGAAAACTCTGACGATTTAAATCCAAATACATTTTGAAAAGGCTTAAATTGGTTTTCAAGCTTACGAAGCATGGTTTGATTCAAAAGATTAAGCTTTATCCCTGGACTTCTCTCATGTATAATGGCCTCTCCTAAATATTTTCCATGTGGATCTAAATATACCAAATGATTTCCGCTTGCAAAACTTGGGACATCGGTTAAGTTGTAAACTGCATTAAAACCTAGGCCGAATTTCCCTATCTTTGTAGAGTCCTCTTTCTTTGTTGCTCCGCTAAGTTTTTGAATATTTTGAAAATCACTTGGAGAGAAAACAGCATTGTTGAAAGCCCATAACGCTGGTCCTTGACATCCTTCCATTTTAGGGTCTATGAGGCAACTTCTTGCATCCTTGTTTTTTCTTTCATCATAGAGAAAATACACTTCAGATGCCCCAGCGTCATCCGCATTTTGAATCAGCTCCTTTGGAACAGACAATCCATCTGTGTATCCTTCTTCTAAAAGTCGATTCAAACGCTGGGTTAATGGTTCTGATTGTCCAAATTCTGAGTAGACGTCTTCTGCATCTGACAATGTATATTGTTTTAATGATTTAACACCAAGTTTCTTTGCTATCTCTTTGTCAATCATTGAATGAACAAGACAAATGTTATCGTCTTCTGTGAACGTTCTGCTGAACCAATCTGAATCAGAGTATGCACATTCGTGCGCAAACCGAAAGGTTAGGATAGGTGAATCTTGGCTATGAATTGGTACCAGGATATCCTCCTTAATTTCAGATAATTCCTCTTCTGTAGATTCTGATAGCCTCTTCAAAATTGTCTCAACTTGCTCTATGTCCTGGCGGTCATCAATCGTGACTTCTGCATTCAATTGTTTTTCTTTAATTTTTTCAAGTGTTTCAACGAGCAGATGACAAGATTGTTTTTTATTACAACCTAGTCCAGCAAAAAATTCTTTCAAGCTGCTGTACTCCTTTGGTAATGAAGTGTAATATGGGGCTAAATCTACATCTGCTCTGCTTCGTTCAATGTAAATATCTGCAGCCTTTATAAATCCAAAGTCTGTGAGAACGCATTTTTGAGGAACTGATGAGGCAAAACGTATCCAATTTTCATTAGCTAAATACTGATATACTTCTCTCATTATGTAATTGTATCCCGCGTGCTCATCTTCCCTATAACATTTTGTAGCCAGGCAAAAATGTTCTATGACTGCATTCAACAGAGGTGCCTTATTGGTATCGACAAGTTCCTCCCATTCTTGAGTTGATGTGGGCAGAACTGATCCAGTTATGTATTCAAACTTTGAACTGTAAATCATATCCAAAGAAACTAACTTTTCTTGACTCGAATACCATTCCATTGATGGGGGGTATTTTTCTCCCCTGTCCTGCTTAAATGGCACAATTTTGAACTTGTGAATTGAATTGCAAACTGAATGGAAAAGATTTTGGTCTTGTCGAAAAGTAAACAATAGGGCATTTGACTTTTTCAGTTTGATGACTGGTTCAACATTCACTGAATCAATCAGCTTACATGTTTGCACAACATCATTCCTGAATGCTGAACTGTTTCTATTCTGAAACTGCAAATGCTTCAGCAAGTCCATTTTTTCTGAATCCTCATCTGGAAATTTATGTTCTGTAAGAAAAAGCTGTCGAAGCGTCTGATCATTTCGATCATAAAGTTCATTTGCTGAGTAATGTTTCCCCATTCCATTTCTGATAAATTTGACCGAATTCAAATCGGTTTGAATCTTCCACCAGTTTCTAAGCATTGACTGCCTTTTCAAAACATAAAAACAAAACCTTCGTTTATTTTCTTCACTGAGTGAAATGCGACCTTTTGTAATTTTTTCAAGCGATTCCTGTACACACACTGTGAGATCTACTTTTTCTGATGAAAGTTCAGAGAGAAGTTGCTCTTCTTTTCTTGTGGATGAAATAACCATTACTTTTGGAAACTGAATTGGAAAGTCGTTATCTCCAACGTACACATCACGACACTCCTTCAAGGATTTGTAACCAATTTGACTTGATTTCTGGACACTTGAAAAACATTTGAATAACTTCAGATGCTCTAAATCCGAGATCAATGATTTTGGGAGAGCAACAGGCAAGAATTCTTTGAACCACTCCCTCTCAGCATCAGAACAGGTGTTGTTAAAGGGACTTATACCGTTCTGTATACAACGTTGTAAAAGCTTTCTCTTCCCATCATTTGTACTTTCTTCAACAATTCCCCATCCTGGTGCAAGTAATGGATGATCATGGAAATTCATATCAATTATCCAAATTTTGAATTTTCTCAAGACTTCAACTTGCAAGGCATTTGTGGCAATTTCGCTGATAAATGCATCAGATACTTTTTTGAGTACCCCTGACTCTTTGGTTTTAATAATATTAAGATCACGAACAAGATCCAAAGATGAAGAACAATGGTGTTTTAAATATGACCAAACTTTCTTTAACCAACGTTCTCCAAATATAGCATCGCTATCTTTCAAAAACCCCGGATCTCTGATTCTTTCTGTCTGCTGCTGGATGATCTCATTCAAAAATCGTAAACAGGAATCGACATTCAAGTTGTGGAATGAATATTGTCCTGCAAAATAAAGAAAATATATATTATTTAAACAGTAATTTCGTGATTTCAACATTTCTTCGTTCTTAAACTATATCAGTGAAGTTTTCCAAAGTCGTTTGATTTTAAATACATGTATTAAGCCAATTCTATTTTCTACTTTTCTTTACAGTTGACTTTAACATTTATTAATTTCCCTTTGTCAGCTTAACTCTATATTTTATGACTACAGTATCTAACATTATGTATGTATTTTCATCTTCCATGGCCAATTTTTCTGAAATGCAGATGTGGGACACAATAGTTTAAAGGCAATCGAAGGTTTAAAGTTTTTAAGACAGAACTACAAAGGTACTAAAAATTTTCTTCAAAACGCAAGAGAATGTGATCGGGGAATTTTATAACGAGGTTGAAGATTGTCTTTTCAATGCAACATAAAGAAACAATTTTATATAAAAGACTAATATTTCATTTAATATGTTCAGTAGTATAGATGAACAAAATATTGAAATAATTTGCCCGGTCCCCTGAATTTTAATATTTAGAGTAGGCTGTATGTGTAAAAAAAAAACAACGAGCATTTGATTATATCAACAAAAATGTGAAAGTCAACTTTTGTAATTCTTTTTGGAAAAAGATATTTCTATTATATTGTTTACCTGTTGATGCAAGGGACTCTAAAACTTTTCCAATTTTTGAGATAGTGTCTGTATTCAAAATCAGAAAACTCTCCTTTCCATTCAGAATCTGCAGCTCTTCCTCTTTGCATAAGTAAAAAGTATTTTGAGGCCAATTCCTTTCTATTTGCAAAGTTCCATATTTCCCATTTTGCAGAGGTAGTAACTCTATTCCATCTAAATCTGAAAGACGTCCATCACTACAAATGTAGACAAGAAGATGGCTTTTACTATTGACACCTAATTGTTTGTAAGTAGGGTCTCCTCTAAGAAGATTTCTGGTTTCTTTGGGATTTGTACACTTTAAATGAACATTGCTATCACAATCTCTCCAGTAATAAAAGAGGTCTTCATGTTCTTTCAAAATTACGACCTTTTTTGTACATTTTTGATAAAGTTCTGTGACAATTTTTTTCTCCTCTTCCTGGGTGTTCTCTGCAAAGACGGCAAAATATGCTTCTTTAGTATGAATCCAATTTCTACTCTCAAGACAGGGAATTTGGGACTCAAGTAGATGCTGGTGTATTTTTTCTCCAACACATGCCCAATGACTTCTTACTGTTGACATTCTTGGGATGTGATGATAAAGCATTTCCAGGTATCTCCCCTTCAACTCGGATCCAAACCTATCACTTTGCCACGACTGAAGAAATTCCACGTAAACCACAGGTAAAATTTCTTGTACCACTAGTACATTCCAGAGCATGTCATTTTCTAAATGTGAGTGGCTTATATTTTGATCATGCGATGGCCATTTAAGATGCTGTCTGTTACTGTCAAGAGCAAAGAATCCATTAACGTGAAGAGGTAATCCAGTAGAACTTTCATCTTCAAATGGGAGAGGCAGGAAGCAAAATAACTGACTGCACTGAATAGGTTTGTCAAGTCTGGCTGCAACTCCAATATATGGTCTGTATTTAGATCGCCGATTTCTGATGAGATTTGAAAGCTCTTTATTCATACTTCCTGCATGGAAATATTGAACTATGAACCATACCTGGAGGGTCTCTATTCCATTCATCCTGATCTTGTATGTAACTATACTTTTCAACCATACTGGGTCGCACTGACTGATCCATCTATCATCTTCTGCCATATTTATCTCAATGTCTTTGATTTTTTCCTTATAGCACTGCCTTTCATTTCTAGTTTCCTCTGCACAGCTTTGATCAATAGCAATAGTACACTCAGATTCACAACTATCATTCTCAATTTTGTATATTCCGATTTCTTCAATCGATGTTAAAAACAAGAGCTCAGAGCTCATCTCTTCTTTAAAAGACTTGAACAGATCTTCCACTTTTTCGGGTGAATATGTATTTTCTGACAATTGTGATGGTGATTTTCTAAGGGGAAACCAGAAAAATGTCCCTTTGAACTCCCCATTTCTGGCTGTCTGTTCATTAATTCCAAAGAGATTGTACAATGGTTCGAGTCCCCTTGAACCACACACATTTGAATGCACATAATTTGCTATTGGGGCAATACTGCAAACTTTGTTTGGATCCTGAAGCTCAGACAAGGGGTCGATGAACAGAATTTTGGCTCCACTGATAACACAAATTGTATCTAAAAAGAATTTTTTTTTTTCAAAATTCATGTGTCTTGTTCTCAACCAAACTGAACATTTCAGACATGAGGCCATTGGGCCACATCGCTCACCTGAGCACTAAGGGTATGAAAAAATAGAAAATGGCTTTTTATTGTAAAGTTTAAATCAAAAAGTAGTCCCATGACCAACCATGGTTTTGCTATTTTTTAGAAAATGATTTTAAAGAATTGTCCTATATATATATCTTTAAAAACTTTGGTCGGCCATTTTGGCCCCGCCCTACCCCTGGGGGTCATGATTTAAACAAATTTGAATCTACACTACTTGAGCATGATTCCATATAAATATGATGAATAATGGCTTTGTAATTCTTGAGAAGATCTTTAAAGAATTTTCCTATATATTTCTATGTAAAACTTTGGTCGGCCATTGTGGCCCCTCCCTACCCCCGGTGGTCATAATATGAACAAACTTGAATCTACACTACCTGAGAATGTTTCCATATAAGTATGATCAATTATGGCTTTGTTATTCTTGAGAAGAAGATTTTAAAAAAAATTTCATATACATTTCTATGTAAAACTTTGATTGGCCATTGTGGCCCCGCCCTACACCCAGGGGTCATGATTTGAACAAGCTTGAATCTACAATACCTGATGATGGTTCCCCATAAGTTTCATTTTCCTGGCACAGTGGTTCTTGAGAATATAGCACCAAATTTTCATTTATTCCCAATTACCTCCCCTTGAATGAGGGTGTGGCCCTTCATTTGAACAAACTTGAATCCCTTTCACCCAAGAATGCTTTATTGCAAGTTTGGTTGAAATTGGACCAGTGGTTCTTGAGAAGGAGTCAAAAATGTGAAAGTTTACAGACAGACAGCTAGACAGACAGATGGACGCCGGACAAAATGTGATTAGCCTTCGGCTCAGGTGAGCCAAAAAGTGGATTCTATGTGGGTTAATATACTTGTAGCCCTCTGCTCCTTAAAAGTAATTGGACTCTCGGCTCCATTACTTTTAAGGAATGGAGCTCTACTCATACATTAACCCTTACAAAGTGTATGCATGCCAGCATTAAAAAAAATTTAATTTTTAGTGAAAAGTATCATAAGTGGGAATATGTAAAAATTGGTTAAAATATATATAATTCTGATGCAAAAAGTTCAAATGGAATTGCTACCTTATAAAATACTCAAATTGTGAATATCAGGGAGAGCATTTAATGTGTACGTGTACAATAAAGAAAATGCCTGAATACATGAAAAGTTTTTGCCCTTGGAAAAATTTTTAAATATTGAATAATTGAAAAAAATATAAATTATACATTTTTATAATTCTTTGGGACTTTTACTTTACAATTATTTGCATTACACCTTTTGAAGAGCATTTGTCCCAAAGATATTGTTTTAAGAGGTGCATTGACACAGATTTGAAGTTAATATTTTCTCAAATTTTCTGTATATTATTATGACTTTTATATTGCAATAGCATTTTACAATTATACCTCTATTGATAATACTTGAATTAGATTGGCTGGAAAGAAAACTTTCAAACACAACGACTCCAAATGGTAGTTTTCTGAGCAAAAACGACCTTGGAAAAATTGCAAGTGGTATATAATGACCCGGTCATTATACATGTGATTAATGACTGCTAAATAATGAACTCTTATTAATAATCAAAAATTCCTTTTTGAGTGAAGTTAATGCATAAAATAATAATTATTCGAGAAAAACAACACGTTTTTAAAATTTTGCATGGTTTGTGTTGCATTACCATACAGAATACAGTAAAATTTTATCGTTAACTTAAATGGTTTACTCATTTCAAAAATATTGTTACAATTCAGTTCAATGGAATGTAGAAGCCATTCTTAGGCCTTTTAAAAAGTTGAATTCTGTGTTAGATTTTGACTGTCACAGTAGAGGAAAAGTAATCGCTAGTTATAACAAGGTATTTTGCTATCAACCAAATATTGTTTTAATCGGTAAATCATGATGCAAAAACTTACACGACTTGCAGTCGTCAATGTAAACAACTTCACTATATGAAGCGTAACGAATCCCGATCCCGATCAAAGAAAGAATTGATTACAGTTGGAGATTCATACTTTTCAATATATATCGGTATAATAAAACAATCGATTACCCCTTGTGAGTTCAACATGGTGAAATAAGGACCCTCAACCTGGCCCACTCGATGACCTGCCCTGACCTCGGCCACTACCCAGCCTCGATCAGGTCAGGTCACCTCGTGGGCCAGGTCTCGGGTCCTTATTTCACCATATTGACCACAAAAGGGGTAATTAATTGTATAATAATAAATATCTCATTTCATCTTGAAGTTCTAGTAACTTCAAATTTCTGGTCAAATTTGATTGACATGTGCATGCACTTTCACAAATTATAATTTTATTCTTAATACCCAAGAAAATGACAATTTTGTTGTGCATTAATGAACAAGAGGCCTACGGGCCTTATAGGTCACCTGAGTATCGTGCAACAACTTTCAAACAATTAAAATTGGTTCGTGTTTTAAGGATTTCCATCCCTAATGGGACCTAATTCCCTACCCTTAATTGTCTGTCAAGTACATAATACACTGATATTATATTAAAGCATTTTATAGCGGAAAAGGATTGCTCGCGAGAAAGTTTTAAAAATGTCATTAATTAAGCAGTAGTTAATTAAAAAAGACTGCATTGAAGTCTATGGGGGAAAGTGGTTTTTTTTTCAAAATAAAAATTCAAATAATTTGAATACCAATAAATCCTGCGGTGGAAAGATGCATTTAAACATTAACAAATAGGCCCATAGAAATAAAAACAATTTTTTTAGGAAAAATTTTTTTAATTGTTTTTTTTATTAAAAGCTTAAAAATAGTAGTCCCATGACCAATTTCAAGGTTTGCTATTCATAAATTTTAAAGAATTTTCCCATATATATTTATATGTAAAACTTTGAAATATGATTTGAACAAACTTGAATCTACAATGCCTACATGCTCATATTATGTCAATTATGGCTTTGCATTCTTGATTTTTAAAGAATTTTCCTATATATTTCTATGTAAAACTTTGGTCCCATTAGGGATTGAATACAAACTTAAACACTAGAGGCTTCATATAAATTCACAATTCACAATTTTGAAAGAACCATTTTTATCATATATTATAAAACTTTGCATGCTTATTTATTTACCTAATACCCAGATGGGGTCATGATTGAACAAACTTGAATCTTCACTACCTGAGGATGTTTCCCCTTAAGTTTCATCTTTCCTGGCACAGTGGTTCTTGAGAAGAAGATTTTTAAAGCATGCCACCAAATTTTCATTAATTCCCAATTATCTCCCCTTGAGTGAGGGCTTGACCCTTTATTTGTACAAACTTGAATCCCATTTACCCAAGGATACTTTGTGGCAAGTTTGGTTGAAAGAGCGGATTTCAAAGTCAAAATGTGAAAAGTTTACAGACAGACATTTTCAGAAATTAAAAACCCCTACAAAATGTATCATAAGTCAGTGCTCAGCCTTCTGTATCAGGTGAGCTAAAAATAAGGAATGACAATTAAAAACAATTTTTTTACCTGCTAAATTTTTTTAATTTATTTTTTTTATTAATTAAAAAAATGGGGGATAACTCTTACCAGAATTCAAGGTCATAAATTAGGACACATCCCATTATACATAATAATAGTAATAAATGGGAAATATGTCTAAAAAAAACTGAGTATTCAATGCCTACATATCAGTTATGTATTCAACTTCACTGAATTTGTTCCCATTAGGGATTGAATACCTTAAACCAGAGGCCATGAAATTCACAATTCACAATTTTGAAAGAGGCACCATTGCTTATCATAATTATAAACTTAGCATGCTTACTCTATTTACCTAATACCCAGATGTAGATCAGAGTAACAAAGAGAAAACGCTGAGTGACTTCCACTTTATAACCAGTTGTGCACCTCATCCCAAAGGAACCACCAACCCTGGGTACACATATTTCGAAATTTTGCAAATTTTATCATAAAATGATTGATCAATACTAAAGAGCAGATTTCAAAGCATTAATTTATTTTCAGACTATATGAACCACCCCCCACCCCACCCCCCCTGCCCGACCAGTGGGCATATTAAAAAAATAACCATTTTGCTAGATGCACCTTTCTTCATCATAAATATAACTAGAACTGTCCAAACGGGACAAAATACCCCCCGCTGGATTTTTCAGAGCTACGTTTTTCCATAATAAAGATATGTATCAAACACGAATTATGAAATTTTTCTAACAGTGACCTTGAACTTCCCCAAATGACCTTGGGTCAAGGTCATGACACACCCTTGGGTCATGGGCAATCTTTGTGTGATATGAGAACCTACCAAGTTTATCCATAAGAAAGATATGGACCGGACAGGAATTATGAAATTTTTCTTCCAGTGACCTTGAACTTCCCCAAATGACCTTGGGTCAAGATCATGACACACCATTGGGTCATGGGCAATCTTTGTGTTAAATGAGAACCTACCAAGTTTATCCATAAGAAAGATATGGACCAGACACAAATTATGAAATTTTTCTTCCAGTGACCTTGAACTTTCCCAAATGACCTTGGGTCAAGGTCATGACACACCCTTGCATCATGGGCAATCTTATTGTGAAATGAGAACCTACCAAGTTTATCCATAAAAATATGTATCAAACATGAATTTTGTAATTTTTCTTCCAGTGACCTTGAACTTCCCCAAATGACCTTAGGTCAAGGTCATGACACACCCTTGGGTCATGGGCAATCTTTGTGTGAAATGAGAATCTACCAAGTTTATCCATAAGAAAGATATGGACCGGACACGAATTATGAAATTTTTCTTCGTGACCTTGAACTTCCCCAAATGACCTTGGGTCAAGGTCATGACACACCCTTGGGTCATGGGCAATCTTAGTGTGGAGTATTTGTCTTGTAAGAAAGATATGGACCGGACACGATTGCAATATAGACGGACAGACGGACAGA